CGGGGAGGGAGGGAGATCCTGGAGCTGAGCGGTATCTGGGGCAGGCAGGTGAGCAGAGAGCCCAACTGCTAGCTGTGTTACAGGGGTGGGGGTGGGAGAACAGGAGCTATAGGTGCTGACAGTAAAAGCCCAGAGGCAGCTGCTTGCAGGGGGGTTGGGGAGAGGCTCCAGCTATGAGGACCCTGCCCCGAGCCTGCAGGCAGCTGGGGCAAGGTCCAGCCAAGTGCCCGAGGGATATGTGGACTGAGTGCCTATGGCCAGCTGTGTACTGCGGGGAAGGACAAGAGACAGCTGGGCAGGGCGGAGGAGCAGGGTCTGGGTACTGAGGGCTGCAGCCAGGACAGCTGTGTGCAGCAGGGAGTGGGAGGGAGTCTGTTGTGTGTAGTGGAGGAGTGTGGGAGGAGTTCTCTGGATGCTGCCCAGCACAGCTGTAAGCGCTGTCTGCTCTGCGGCATGGGAAGAGAGCCTGGCATTGGCTGGCAAGTGCCTACCCAGGGGAAGTTCTGGGGTGGTTTTGCTCATCCCAGGCCGGTGAGGAGGGGAGAAGTTGGCAGTGAGTCTCATGGGGCAGCCAGCCCCCAGCCTCTTCCCCGTGGAGGATATAAACCCTGGCAAAAATCTCCACTTAACCTTCAACATGACTCCTTTGTGGGGCAGGCCATAGATTGAAGGTTTGTGGCTGGAGGCTGGTGCTCTGTCTATTTAAAGTATTAAATGTTGCACAACAGCTGCAAAACCTAATGCTCTTGTGCTTTGACCTTAACCATTAAACTGGGGGAAACATGTTGTTTAGAAAGCTCTCAGCATCGTGACTATGCATTGGGCATTTCTCTTCCCCTTTTTTGTTAAGAAAAATTTAATGTCAATGTCTAAATGCTGGGCATTTGCATGAAAGCAGGAACTTTATTGCATGAAGAGGTCCTGGGAGGCATGTTTAAATAACTGCGTCCATTCAGTTATTGGCCATCATGATGACTTACAGTCTAGAGAATACCGCTGAGATCTAGGCCTTATTGCACTAGGTGTTGTACAAATACTGTGTAAGACGCAGTTCACTGCCCTGAAGAGTTTGCCATTAAACTAGCCAAGCCAGACAAAGGGCGATTTCCAGATGGAAACAGAGCCCTAAAAGGGCTTAGCAACTTGCTCATGGCCCCTGATAATTAAACACAGATCTCCTAGGTTCCAGTCCAGTGCTTTTAGTTCAGACCTTCTTTCTCCTCTCATCCAAATGGGATCTAAAGTAGTTCCCAAAGATTGGGATTTATACTGGATCCAAAACAGGACAATGCCGATCTCATGAGATTTCTACTATTACACCGTCAAACCCAAGCACAAACTCCAACCTCAGCCTAATCCAGATCCTGCCCTCCCCTACCTGGCCAACCTCTAATGCAGATCCGGGGTTGTGAGTGGCTGTGTGCTGTCCCCTCAATGAAGTGTGTATTGAAGGAGCCTATATCCAGGAACTAGCTTTAGAATAGGGGTCTTTCAGACTTCCCTTCACACAGTGCTTCTGAACATGCAGTGCCTGGTCAATTCTCGTGTTTGGTATTTGGGAGGGAGAGTTAAACATTGTCAGGGAATGCCCTTCCCAAAGAGCAACATTCTGCCAGGGCCCTCTCTCCTCCCTTAAACTCAGCAGAAGTGTTAGCATGGCTTCAGTAGCTCATGGCTATTCAACAGCTGGAGTACATGAGGCTTCATGAGAGAACATAGGTCACCACCAGCCACTTCACTGTGAGAAATAAAATTAAGTGTGGGAATAAATGTTTCGGCTGCAGAGAAGGAAGCATAGGCCTGGGAACTCTGTAAGTATGGAATCAGGATTTCAAAATGTAGGGGGGTTATTGACAGCATCTTAACATTTCTTGCTGGTACTGTCCTAATGCAACCTACGTTCCTGCCAGCTCTTTAAATAGCTCCCTGCTGGCTTTTTCCACAGCTCAGCCAGCTCTTGCTGCAGCTGCACACCTAAGTGCACCTGCTGACTTTCATCTCTGGTTATTGACCCCGCTAGCGCCCCATAAATGGTACCCTTGGCAGCTCTATCTGGGGGACATCAAGGGGCAAAATAACCCCTTCTTTGTGGCTGGAGCAGGGGAGGAATTTCCATCTCTGCCCAGCTCCCTGCTCACACTGGTGAGAGCTGCACATGGCTATGTAGTAAGTCAGGATCTATTGTTATGTCCTAACAGGTCTACTGCTCTGTCAATGACAACCAGTCGACTGCATATGTTTGTGCTCAATCATGTGTGCTGTGTTGACTTGCACAATTTGTCAACAAAACAGACTCTCAGAGAGCTCCCAAAGATCACAAATCAGATGAAGATTGAAGGCTTCCGGCCAGGTTTGTTGTTAAATGAAGTACAGAAATAGTTGTCAGTAGACTCTCTATCAAACCACTATGAATAAGTACCCATAACAATAGACTCAGCTCAGTCAATGGGAGGTCCCAATGCCCCCTCAGCTAGACAAAGAGCCCCTCCAAGACACCATTTTATATACAGGTACAAAAAAATTACACATCACTTCTGATGTGTCAGGTTGCCACTCTCTGACACTGCTTACATATCACCCATTACCCTGTACCTTGTGGTTCTCCTTCGCATGGTGTCCGTGCATCCTCATGCCAGCGGTTGGAGATTTTTAGCCTAGCAATGCCTTTCTGCATCACACATGCACAGTCATCACCTTGCACTGTTTTTGTTTGTAGCTGTGCGCACAATGCTGATCCCCTCTGTTCCTTTTCTGTCACTCTTGGCAGATGACAGTGTTTCGGAGCAGTTCTTTTCTGACTGGAAAAAGACCACAATTAGTTAGTAATTTTAGTAGTTCTTAGTCAGTTTGTTTTCCATCAAGAACATCTGCTTTTTGCCTACACCATCCTTTCCGGGCACTGGACCCAGCACTGGTCACGGGAGCAAGTTCTCTTCCCAATATTTGTCACCAACCGGTTCAGTGGCATCATGATGTTTAACTAGGCAATGACGATCAAAATATTGTCCTTAGTACCCCTGGTTTAACCAGCCATGGCCTTATCCACCACAGCAAAACCAACTCCAATGGCCACCCTGGGAATTGTGGAACCAGAACCGTACCCACTTCTCCCATCAACATTGATCTTGGGAGACAACTGCAGCGACCCCAGCACGCACAACAACACAATCTCCTCCTACTACCACACAATTGTTGCCAACCTACCCTCCATGCTCACCATCAGCAACTACTCAAGCAGATTCCACAGAGGAGGAGGATGACTTGCCTCAATCACTTCTGTTCACGAGCAGGATGGGCAAGAGATCCCAGGGTGCAGCATGTTCCTGATCCATTGGGACAAGCCCTTACACTATGCCTTCCCACCCATCCCACTCATTGCCAGAATCCTATGCAAGATCCGGATGGACAGAGCTGTAGTCATCTTGATAGCTGCATCCTGGATCCGGCAAATCTGGTTTCCATACCTACACTCGATTTCCATAACAAGGTCTTATAATCTTCCAACCCATCAAAATATCCTCTTCCAAGACAGATTCAAACTGTTTCATGCCCAACCTTACACTCTTTATCTGCACATGTGGCTCCTGTCTGGTTCCATGGAACAGAATCCATATGTTCAGAACAAGTGAGATCTCTCCTTCTACAGATTAAGAGACCGTCAACCAGAGCCACTTAGCTGCAGAAATGGAAGTGGTTCTCCTCTTGGTGTCAGCAGGACCACACTGAGCCTTATCTCACAGCATTCCATCAAATTCTTGACCACATACCACCTGAAAATTGGAGGCTTATCAAACTCCTCTGTCAAAGTACACCTTGCAGCAATAATGGCCTTCCATGAACAGATAGAAGGATCATCTGTCTCATACCCCATAACAAAGAGGTTCCTGAGGGGCCTCCAGAACATCTACCCTCCACATAGAGTTCCTCCCCCTTCCTGGGACCTGAACCTAGTTCTGGACAGTCTCATGAGACCTCCCTTTGAGCCCACAGCAATTTGCCCGCTCTCATTCCTACTGATGGTGTTATTCTTGACAGCCATCACCTCTGCCAGGAGGGTTAGTGAGATAGGAGCCCATGTTGTAGGTCCACCATATACAATCTTTGCCAAGCACAAAGTGAACTTACGACTGCACTCAACATTTTTACCCAAGATCCACATGGCTCTTCATACCAACGAGCCCATAGTACTATCAACATTTTGAACCCCGGCCAATCAGGGTTAGGCTTTTATCACAGGACAGCTTGTTGGGGCAGCTATGTATATAAGAAGCTGTCCGGCAGAGAGAGGCAATAGAGTCCTGACCAAGGAGGATGCAGGACTAGTTCCCTGAGCAGCGCTGTAGAGCAGTGCTAGGCAGGCTAAGGGGAGCTAGAGACGAAGCCTCTAGCCTGACACCTGCCAGGCCTGTGGCATGCCTTGCAACGAAGGCCAAGGAAGTGCAGGTGTGACGGGAAGTGGCCCAGGGAGCTAGAGGCAGTAAAGGGGAGTAAAGGAGGACAGGACAAAGCTGCTTCCACAGGGTCCTTGGGTTGGGACCCAGAATAGTGAGGGGGCCTGAGTCCTCCCTTCCCCCTCATCTTGCCACCAAGGCATGGCCCATACAGACTGGAAACCACAGCTGGCCATGGGAACAGTAGAGACTAAGGACTGCTGATACAACCCCTGGAAGGCAGTGAGAGACTACTGTTGTAGGCAGTGTCCCAAAGAGGTTGTCATGGTTCAGGAGTAACAGGGGTCTGGGGCAAGAGCGGGGAGTGAAGATGGGGGACACACCAGCCAGAAGAGGACGTCCTGCTGAGTAAGAACTAATTCTCTGGAGCAACCAGCAGGCGGTGCCGCAGTGGTGAGTTTGCTCCATGGCAAACCTATATACACCATATGCCTCCCTAGCCCCGCAGGGATATAAAGTGCAGTGTCACTGGGGAGACATTGGTTAGACAAGTCCAGTAAAGACCTGCCTGATCCCGTGGGTACTTACCTGGATATGTATCCTACAGGGCTCTCTGCTCACCCAGGCTGAACCTTCCTGTCGAATCTGCTGTTTTTAGCAGGATAGTCTCCAGCTGCCTCCCCGTTACCAGAGACTTTCTCCTGCCGGATTAGCTGCACCACAGCAAACTGCCAGTGGGATGTGCCACCAGTGCACATAGCCATTTGTCCCGTCACTGCACAGCACTGTGATAAACACTCAGGGCTACCACAAGACACATCCCCACTACAGGCCTCGCACACAGAGCAGTTTTGGGGGTGGCTTGTCTGAGCTCTGGCAAAAGGACCTGGGAAGTCCCAACAGGAAATGGAGAGGAAAAGGATGCAGATCGTTAACCCTTTCAGTGCCTGCCCTTCCGGTAACAGCATCCAAGAGGAGCTGGCTGGGAATGAATCAGGTAGGATTTCAAACATCACATATCAGTCACACATGCTAACCACTAGAGATGGGCCAAAACAGCGACTTTAAACCTCAGGTCTGTATTTCATTTTATCCCTCTTGAGAATGGGGATGCCAGGCTGGAATCTCTGGCCCCGAACTGGCCCTTATAGTTTCAGTTTCATGTCTGAGCCAGACTGGAAAGATCCATTTGATGAATCAGAGTTGGATCTGGGTGAGGGCTCGTGTTACGAGAGCTCTGATGGCAAAGGACTGGAGGAAGTGAAGCTTTGTGAAAGAACGTGGAACAGCAGCTGCTTTGCTGTGAGAAGGCAGCAAAGAACATTAATAGTTCTCTGACCAAACCTGGAAGTTGGCGCCATCTAACACCCTCTGCTTCCTTCCGTGGTAGGATGTGAGCTGAACTGGAGCCCTGTGCTTCCCCGTAGCTCTGCAGACAAGGAGAGCTAGCAAAGGCAGCGATGCTGAAAGAGTCCCAGCTGTCATCACAATGGCTACCTCAACCCCGGTCTCTGGATTGTCTATTCCATGCCTGGCACTGAGTCTTCTCCTGGCAACCCCTGGTGAGTATGGAGCAGTAGTCTTCAGCCTGTGACCGCATATGGGACTGCAGACAATGTCTCAGGGGGCTGTGTAAGGCTCCCAGCACCACAGGACAGTGGTTTCTCACCTGTAGTCTCTGGCCTCCAGGGGTTCGTAGACTGTCTCAAACTCCCACAGGTATCCACCCCTCCATGCAGAATTTTTTAGGGGCTCACCAATGAAAAGGGTAAAAAATTACAAGCATAGATGGTACCAACCTACCTATATAATGTGCACATGGGTACGAACCATCTAGTCTCATGTTTGTTACTGGTCTAGGGATCTTTTCTAGTTCTCCTTTTCCATGGTGGGGTAATAGCACTCCCTGTGTTATTGTGTGATCAGTATTCAGACTTTCTTATCCCCACCCACCTGACTGCATTAGCTCTGATGTAGCACTCCCATTTTGTACCCTGACCACCCGTTTCTCTTTCTTTCCCTTGGTACATCTGACAAAGTGAGTTGCAACTCACCAAAACTTCAATCCTAATAAAATTGTTCATCCCTAAGGTGCCACCGGGCTTGTTGCTTTTTCCTTCAAACCAAGTCTTATTTCCTCTTTCTTTCCGGGCTGCTAATGCATAACGTGGTGCTTTTTTGCTGCAAGCGCAGCAAACCTACTCTGCTGGGCTCAATGCATGAGCTCAATGAAAGCGAGTGGGGGTCTGTCTCCAGAGGCTGGAAATTCTACCCTCCATCCCCATGCAGACAGACCCCTCGCCTGTCACTGCTTGGGTGCAGGATACTGTCTTATCTCTCCCCACCCTGACTGCATTAGCTCTGATTTAGCACTCCCATCTCTGTACCCCGACCATCTGTTTCTCTTTCTTTCCGTTTGTGCATCTGACAAAGTGAGTTGCAACTCACCAAAGCTTCAGCTCTAATAAAATTGTTCATCTCTAAGGTGCCACTGGGCTTGTTGCTTTTTCTTCTTAACTGAGTCTTATTTTCTCTTCCTTTCGTGGCTGATGGTGCACAGTGCAGTGCCTTCCTTTGGCTGCCACTGTGCACATGCAGCTTTTTTTCCTCTTAGAAAATTAAAACTGGCTCATAACCCAGCTACACAGTTTCCAAACTGTCCCTTCGGGTTTCCATATAGAGATTGCTCACAGTGGCAGCCTGGGTATGGGTTTGGGCAGCCAGCCTGAGGTGCTGTGGGGGTGTAGTCATGGCTACTCTGCTGGTCTCAGTGCACAAGCTCAATGAAAGCCAGTGGGGGTCTATCTCCAGAGCCTGGGAAATTCTACCCTCCAGCCCCATGCAGACAGACCCTCGCCTGTCAGCGCTTGGGTGCAGGATAGGTTGTTCTGCTCCATGTCTGTGAAGTGCTTGCCGCACTGGTGTCCCGAGCTGCGGCTGAGACTCCCACGGGCCAGCACATGCAGACTCATAATTCATAAGCTGTTCTCAATGTGTAATTTGGTTGTGGTGCACCGTGACTTTGTTCAGCTGGCCACGTTCCTCCAGCGCCGAGATGAGTGAGGACAAGGCTGTTTGCACTTTGCAAGAAGAGCTCGCAGAGCCCCCGTCCTAGCACTGACCCCTGGGCGCCCCAGGTGTTATCTGCATTGCACCCTGAGCCGCTGCACTTTGCTCTTACTCTGCCCCCCTAGTGCCCTAAGCCAGGGCAGCACAGCGCCCTTAGCCCACAGCTGCCGGGCAGGCCCCTTCTGATGGGGGGGATGCTCAGAAAGGCTCTAAATTCACTTTTCCACCCTTTGCCCAGTGCTGCGCTCACTCCAGAAGGAGCGCTAACAGGTACCTGGCACCTGGCCTGTCGGGATAGAGCTGTAAAAGGCACAAGGTACTCTGGGTTGCCAACGATTATGATTTTATTGTGAGTCTCACATAACTGGGGATGTTTCTTAGGGTACGTCTACACTAGCCCGCTAAATCGACCACTTAATTCGATTTAGGGGCTTTATTCTGGAATCCCGTTTCACTGCCGCGTGTAGACCCGGGCAGTTACTTTGGGCTAGTCAATTACTAAAATGGCAACCAGTAGGGAACATGCAAATCAAGCAGGGATATTTAAATCCCAGGCTTGATTTGCAATTCTGGTCACCCTTGTTAGCCTCCCTACATCAATATAGGGTGCTAGTGTAGATGTACCCTGAGAGTCCAGGTGTTGGAATCAGCAGACTTGCAGTTTGCTTGTATGTATTTCTTTTCTAGAAGACTTACCTGGCGTTGCTCATGTTCTAAAGGGCAGGAACTGGCAGTATTGGGGGTGCAGGAATTGGAGCTGGAGATTGGTAGTTGTGGGCAGCATCAGGAGATGGGGTTGGGGGCTCAGGGAAAGGAGAAGGGGCGAACGGCAGCTGCTCACCAGGGTCAACCCTGTGCATCAGGGTCCATACAACCTGGTGGGCAGCTGTTCCCTGGGGTTGGGCACTTTCTACCCACTGTGATTATTGGTGAGTATAACTATCCCTGCCAGGGCCAGGAGGTTCTGTCTCTTGTCCTTCCTTCTGCTCACATGTATCACAACATCTGCTGGGTCCCGGCTGCTCCCAGGAGCTGGGGTTGAGCTGTGGAAAGGCGGCTCTGGGGCAGCCTGCAGGAGGTGCTGTGGAAGGACACAAAGTTACTCCCCAGGCAGAGAAAGCTCCTCTGGGCAGGGCATGGAACTAGGCAGGGCTAGGAGCAGGCTCCAAAGAGCGGTGCCCTGGTGTGGGATTCAGCTCCCAATTGCTGTAGTCGAATGGGGCTTGTCAAACAGCCTCCCCCTGCCCAGCCTGTTCTCTCCTTCCAGGGGCCGGGGCCCAGGAGTTCCAGCTGCTGCAGCCCCAGGGCGCCGTGTTGGTGTCAGCGGGAGAGACTCTCACCCTGCCCTGCTCTGTGACGGGGCTCAGTCCGGCAGGACCCGTGAAGTGGTTCAAGGGCTCAGGCCCCACCCGCCAGCTGGTTTATGAAGATAAAGAATCATTCCCCCGGGTGACGAGGGTGGTCCACAGTGACACCGACTTCACCATCCGCATCAGTGACACCCGCCCCGAGGACGCCGGGACCTATCGCTGTGTGAAGTTCAAGAAGGGGCTGCGAGCCGATGAGGAGATCGGATCCGGCGCTGGAACGGCCGTGTCTGTGAGCGGTGAGTGCGAGCTCCCAGCCGGCCACACGCCCCTCCCCCCGGGGCCGGTACCAGGGAGGGGAACAAACCCGGCTCAGCCCAGACAGTAACTGTGGAGCTGGGCTTCCCATCGAGACTGAAGCAAAGTGGAACTGAGGAGACCTGCCCCAGATCTTGGGTGGGGAAATTTCTGTTCTAGCCACAGGAATTGCTACCCCCAAACTGAAATGAATGGCCAGGTGCACCAGGGTGTGCAGCGGGGGTGACTGGTAGGAGGGGGGTGTCTGGTGTAGTGTAGATAGTTCTCACTGGTAGCACTAGCTTAAGAACCGTGCCTGCAGGACAGCATGGGCCATGTGGAGCCACCTCTCCACCTCCCTCCCAAATGGGAGCTACACTACGTAAGGACCCTGCACCCCAATTCCCACCCCACCATGAGCCCCCTCCTATACCCTGTAATCCCAACCCTGAGCCCACTCCCACACCCTGATTCCCTTCCACACCCCATACCTAAAGTCCCAGCCTTAGCCCCTCCTACTCCAACCTTCCTCCCTGACACAGCCCCACCCCCCCCACACACACACTCCAAACCCTTTGGCAACAGCCTGGAATCCCCTCCCAAATCCCACATGCCTCATGCCCAGCCTCACCCCAGAACCTGCATCTCCACTCAGAGCCCTCCCCCCTTCACAGCCAGCCCCAGCCCACACACTGAACCCTTCATTTTTGGCACCAACCTGGAGCCTAGGAGGGCCCACAAAATCCAAGTCCTGGACCACGAGAAAAGTTAATCCGGCCCTGCTCACTCGTCGCCTCCAAAAGGAGCAGCTATAGCTGGGACGCCTTATACTGGCCTACCAGGGAACTGCTCCCAGCACCGCAGGGTTTTAGTCTCCCTGCCCAGTGCCCTGGGAAGCCCCCATGGAGAGGGGAGCAGGGACCAGGCAGGCTGGCGCAGCTGCACAAGCAGAAAAAGCAGGATGTAGCCGGGTGCACTGGGCGTGGAGCCTCCTCCCAGTCCCCCACAGCTAATAAACACCTTGCCCCGGCCAAAGAAAAGAAGTTAGTACCACATTTGCAGCACTGAGCTGGGGCCAGACACTTTCTGGGCGGGAGACAGAGGTCTCCCCTCCCCCACCAGTTCTCTGGCTATGGCCCCTTCCCAGCAAAGACTTTCCTAGCCTGGCTCCCCCGTCTCCTTGCAGCATGACTCCCTGATGTCAGGCTGTCCTGTGGGGAGCAGGCCATGTGCGGAGGGGGCTGGGCTGTCAGTCACAGAGGGAAAAACTTAAAAAACGACAACTAGTATGGCAGCACCTTAAACAAAACATGTAGATGGTATCAACTGAGCTTTCGTAGGCACAACCCACTTCACTGCCTGGCTGATAAACACTTCTTCCTGCAGCCAGGCCATCGGCCCTGTCTGTGTCCCCACCCCCCAGCAGGGCAGAGCCGGGCACCCCAGTGACTTTCACCTGCACGTCTGGAGGATTCTCCCCCAGAGACATCACTGTGACCTGGCTCAAAAATGGGGCCCCACTGCCGGCCCCCCAGCTCCGGGTTCTCCCCGAACACGAGAGCGTCTCCTACAGCGTGTCCAGCACCGTGGGGCTGTGCCTGAGCACAGGAGACGCCCTCTCCCAGCTCACCTGTCAGATAGAGCACAGTGCCTTAGCAGCTCCCCTGCATGGGACGTACAACATCAGCCATGCCTTGCGAGGTAGGAGCCCAGCCAAGGCAAATCTCTGGGGGCTCTGCTCAGGAGAGAATTGAGATGGGGTATATGCAAAGGTGGAACTGGACAGGACTGAGATGGATCCATTGCCCTCTAGGATCCCTTTGGGCTGGATGGTTGGTGGGGAGGGGGGGAAATGAGACACTGAAATCCAGATTTGGGTCCAGTCACTGCCCGGTGCCCATCTCTCTTTCTCAGGCCTTAGAGACCCTTCCCTTAGTTGGGGACATTGCAGGGGTGGGAGAAGTTGGTAACCAAGTGCGGGGAGGCGTGCATGGGGTTGGAAGGTGTTAGTCCTTGTCTGAGTCCTGGTAAGTTCCCCTTCTCTAAATGAAGTTTCCCAGCTGCTAGGCACTTTTCCAGGCTGGGAGGGGAGAGAAAGTGGGGATGGATGGAGCATGTTTTTGTGTTCAGATAATTTAATTTTAAAAAAAATTGCCCTGACAGGCTCTTCCCTCATCTATGACAGGAGACCCCATGCCGGGTTCAAAGGGACCCCCCGTGCATAGAGAAGCAGGGCCATTGGACTCCTATGGACTATGGAGATCTGCCTGCCAGCCTTCATGAGGGGGCCCAGGGCTACCTAGCTCCTGCTCACCCACCTGCTAGGCAATGAGGAGAGTTAGTTATAGAATCATAGAACACTAGGACTGGAAGGGACCTCGAGAGGTCATCGAGTCCAGTCCCCTGCCCTCACAGCAGGACCAAGTACTGTCTAGACCATCCCTGATAGACATTTATCTAACCTACTCTTAAATATCTCCAGAGATGGGGATTCCACAACCTCCCTGGGCAATTTATTCCAGTGTTTAACTACCCTGACAGTTAGGAACTTTTTCCTAATGTCCAACCTAAACCTCCCTTGCTGCAGTTTAAGCCCATTGCTTCTTGTTCTATCCGCAGAGGCCAAGATGAACACGTTTTCTCCCTCCTCCTTATGACACCCTTTTAGATATCTGAAAACGGCTATCATGTCCCCCCTCAATCTTCTCTTTTCTAGTTCTTGAGTTTGGGGAGGTGCTTGGAGATCCTTAGATGGGAGGTGCTGTGGACGGGCCAAATGCCATCACTATGCACATGCAGGACAGCAGGGTCCCTGGAGATCACATCTCTGGAGAGCGTCCTGCCCAGTATGGGGCAGAGAGGCATCTGAAAGAGTTGAGAGGATGCCCAGAGAAATGCCAGCTGCCCTCTGTTCCCTGGTAGGATTGGAGGGAAGGGCCCAGTTCAAAGAAGACAGTCCTGAGGGCAGAACATGCTCCGGGGGGTACCCCAAGCAGGGGAGGTTCAGAGGAGATGGAACCAGGATGTGGGTGTGGTGGGAAGACCGTTCGGCCCAGCCCTGCAATTTCCCTCCAGCCCCGCAGGAGAAGGGGAATTTCAGGCGATGCTGAGCGCAGGGTGTTTGTGTGTTGTCAGTTCCACCCAGGCTGCAAGTGGGCTCTGACCCGGCGGGGCCGGTCGCACGGAACGAGTCTGTGACGTTCACCTCCGCGCGGAGGGGTTCTACCCGCAGGGGACCAGTCTCAGCTGGCTGGAGAACGGAAAAGAGACAGATCCGGGGAAACTCTCCCGCCCAACGGAGAATCCAGACGGGACGTTCATGTTGCAGAGCTCCCTGGAGGTCAGAGCAACCGAGCAGAGGAACCCGTCTGTGTTCACCTGTCGGGCTGTGCACGATTCCCAGCCCCCCGTCAGTGCCAGCGCGACGCTGAGAGTCTCCCTGCCACCCACAGAGCCTGGCAAAGATCCCGCTTCATCTGATGGAGGTAAATGTGGAGTTGAAGCCTCTCCTATTCCTGATAAGAAATGCAGGTGATCACAGCAGAGCCCAGCGGCCATTTCATCCCAGCCCCACCTGCTCCTCAGGGTAATGATAACTGTTTATCTATACTGGCATATTTTATCACCAAAACATGAATTTTGGTGACAAAACAGTGAGGCTGTGTCAGACTGCATCCCTTTTCCGTAAAAGGGATGCAAATTAGACATATCGCAATTGCAAATGAAGCGGGGCTGCAATGGCTGCTGCTTTTTTCTGGCTCGGAGCTTTGCCGGAAAAAAGCGCCAGTCTAGACGCGGATCTTTCAGAAAATAAAGTGAGGGATAAGGGATCTTTCGGAAAAGGCTTTATTTTCCAAAAGATCCGAATCTAGACTGGCGCTTTTTTCCGGCAAAGCTCCAAGCTGGAAAAAAGCAGCAGCCATTGTTATGCTAATGAAGCGGGGGGGATTTAAATCCCCGTTTCATTTGCAATTGTGATATGTCTAATTTGCATCCCTTTTATGAAAAAGGGATGCAGTCTAGATACAGCCTGAGAGTGTTTACACTGCAATGCGAATGTCAGGAAAAACATCCCTTTTTGTGACCAAAAAACTTCTACCCCGTAAGAGACTTTTGTCATTTCCCTTTTCTTTATTGTTGACAAAGAGCCATTGTGGACTCTGCTGTTTATTTTGTTGAGAGAACTGTCTTCCGCCAGTATCCCACAATGCCTGTCTTGATGGCTCTGCTCAGTGTTTTGTGATCTCTGCTGCCCTCCCGTTTCAAACTTCTGACAAGTATCTGACAGCTGAGTGAGTGGCTCTATCTGGGAAACAAAGAGCAAATCTTTGGAATGCTCTTGTTCTGCCCTGCTAGAAACACAGTGGCAGGCGAACTGCTTCTGCAGGGGGAGGGCTAGAGAGACAGCTTGCTTCTTGGACATTCCTCAGCACACAGAGCTCAAAGCAGCTTTTCCTTCCCACAGCACTGCGCTATGGGATGCTTACCCAGATTGCTTTGCTCTGCTAGTACCTCGTCAACAGATAACGTGGCCATGAAATGTCAACAATGTCCTTGTGGTCGCTCTCCGTGCCCAGGGCAGATACTCCCTGTAGCGTGTGAATGTCCCATAGAAAGGCACTCAGACCTGGTCATGCCTGCAGAGCAGATGTCCAAGAACTGATCCCAGCTCAGGGATGTGGCTGATTTGAGGCTCTCAGATAAAAGTGCAGGAGGCTCCTGAGCCCTTGTCCTCCTGCTCTGCAAAGCCCAATGGCTCAACGCCAGAGTCCAGGCTTCCCTGGGACCAGGCCACAGCCTGAGAGGGGCAGCGAGGGAGGGGGAGAGTGGCTGCCAGGCAGAGCTGAAAAAAATTTGCAGAGGCCATTTGACAAGAAGCTGCTCCCAGGTGAGAACTCACCCAGACCATGGAAGCCACCTGGTGGGAAGGTGGGATGGCCAGGAACCAGCAGAAGGCTCCTGCCCATGGGCTGATCTGAGGCATTTCCACTGCAGGTCAGAGCCTGTTCTCCAGCCCGGCTCTCTGGATTGGGCTCCTCCTGGAGAAGATGCTGACTCGAGCCTTCCTCCTCTTCTTCTTCCTGAGGCGTAAGGAGTAACCAGGGAAATGCAGCTTCTCTGTGAGTTGCTCTGGGGTGTTACAAAGTGTGTGATGGCGTGATTGGGTTTTCCTGTCTCCTGTACCCCTGTAGTGGCACGAACAGACTCCACCAGCCAGTAGAATAGAGGGAGTTTATTGCTTCTCCAGGATACAGCACAGCACAGATGTAATCTGGTTACAGGGCAGGCCTCAGTGCCCTCCCCTTGAGATGTGGGAGCCTGTGCCCTGTAATCCCAGCCCCTCCCTAGCTCCTTCTCCCCTGCTTCCCAGACAGAAACTTAACTAACTCACATCCAGCCCTGCCTCCAGCCAGGGTTCCACCCCCCTTCTTCCCATTGTTCCGCTCCCTGGGAGATACTGGTTGGACAGGTTCGGAGCCCCCTTTGCATAATGATTCATCCCCTGCCCTGCTGGGCCGTGCTGTAGCCAGCAGCCAGTGGAGGTCACTCACAACCCATTGCCCAGCATAGCAACCAGCAAGGTACCCCCCACTATGTCACAGAAAGGAACCCGAGAGAACTGCACTTAATGCTGCAGCCTGGGAGAAGAGCAGGAAGGTTCAAACCTCACAGGAAGTCGGTGTTGCTGGAGGTCTCTGGGGCTGCTCAGAGGACACAGACCTGCCCTCCCTGTCCCATGCTGGCCCAGATCACTAGTGACCTGGTGGGTTTTCAGGGTCTTGGTCTAATTCCATGAAGTCCAGTGACCCCAGAGGACCAGCCTGCTGGGCACTAGCTGCTGCCCTTAGCAGGCATCAGAGACCCAAGGATTGGGTGCAAGTGGGAAATGAATCGCTCTGCCCGCAGTGTGGGTGCTGCTGGCTGGGGTGAGCTCTGTGTAGAGCTGGCAGGGGTGGAATGGCCAGGCCTTCCCTTGCCGACTGCGCCTATAGCACATTCCTGCCCTTTGCTCCTCCCTTGCTCACACGAAGCCTCCTCTCCACATGCCCTCCCTTTGGTAAATGCCTCCAGGCTCAGCTGAGGCAGGTTCCCCAGGCCCAGGGGACACAGTCCAGGGTCCCTGGCGAGCACTGGCATCTCTGCCCAATCAGCCAGGTGGGTCAGGGAAACCCTGCTGGGTCCAGGGATGCAAACAGGGAATCAATTCCACCTTCCCTTTTGTCAGGTGCATTGTCCCAGCCCTTTTGCTGGAAATCCTGCCACAGGGCACTTACCTCAACCAACCCCCCTCTAGGCCACAGCCAGGCATTGCCAAGACCTTGATCCTGTGCTGGGTTTGAACAGAGGGTCCCAGCAAACCATTTATGGCTACAGACCGAGCTCCTTCGTTCCAGAGCCCTGAGACTGCTGATAACCAGCTGCCACTCACTGCTGCCCAGATCCCTGTGTCTGTCCCCAAAGAGACAAAACTCCTGCTCATCCCACCCCGCTCAGCTTGCCTGAGCCTCACCCCCCAGCTTGTGACACTGTCCTTCGGTGGCGCTGATCTGTGCCCTGGAGGGACCCTCCCCGTTCTATGCAGGGGGAATACAGGTGCTGGCCGATCTGAGTCACTGGAAATGCAGACGAGCCAGCACTCCGAGTAAATCTCCCCAAGCAGCCCCCAGCTCAGGGTGTGGTGTGGCTGACAGAAAGCAAACTAGAGCAGTTTGCCTCATGGGCTTGTTCTTGGCTGGGTTACTACCAAGGGCAGGGTCGCTAACTGACTCTCCTGTTGGATTTTTTCTTTTTGCAGCTCCTGATCTATTCCCCGATATTCTCGCATCCTCCCCACCTGCCAAGATGTCTGTCTGCAGCCTGACTCCTCCCCATCTCAGAGCCAGTTCGTGATCTTCAGTGACCCCTGCTGGCCGGGCAGCTGGAGCCCAGGCCCATATTGGGATGTAACTACCCCACAGTCATACCTAAGGATTGGGCAGCTGCTGAAAGGATTCCTCCCTGCTCCCTTCAGCCCAGCCCTCTGCAGTATTTGCACTGCCCTTCCCTACGGAGCCAAGCCAGTACGTGTGGAATACCGTACGGGGTGAAATGCAAATTGGTCATGTATATCAGTGTGTCTGTGGGACCTGGTGGCCCCGGAGCAACTCCCCTGAGTCCTGCAGGTTTGGCCAGAGGCTCAGACTCTCACTCTCTGGGCTGGTAGGAGCTGGGTGTTTTGTAGCTGTGACACTGCAACCTGACTGGAGAGAAACAGTCTTGTTCTGTTACTGCTAGCTCTGCCCTTGCCCATCTCTGGAGAGGCCTAGAAAGAGTCCCAGAAGGCAGGGCCGGGTCACATAAGTGCCCATGCTGGTCTGTGCTTTGGCACCCTGGGGCGGTGGTGACATAGACCATCTGCAGGGCTGTGTGGTGCCTTTGCTGCTACATGGACTCTGGCTGCAGCCTCCTGCCTGTGCTCAGCTGTGAGGAGGCAGGAGATGTCTGTGTGATATTTTCACACAGAAACTAAACCGCCGTGGCAATGCTTCAACTCACCCTGCCTTGGAGAGCATGGGCTGATCTGTCCGTGAGCCACTGGTCTGTGCTACCTCAAGGGCAACAGTGAATATTCCCTGTGTGTTCCTGCCATGTGAGCTGGGAAGGGGTTTTGGGGAGAATTGTGGCTCCCAATTCACCTGCATCTCTCCTCCGAATCAAACAGCATTTCTGGCCCCAGCACCTCTGGTGTAGCACATCTTCTGCAGCTCCCTCCTTTCGATGGGCAGCCAGAGGACATGTCCTGGCAGAGAAAACCTTGGCAGTGGGATTCCAATAGAGCCACCCTCCCAGGCAGCCGGTGGGAGTGGCACTCAGCTGCAGAGCTGGCATGGATGGACACAGCTTGCAAGCTAAGAGCGTTGGCTGCTGGGCTTCCAGACATTAGAACAGCCACAGAGGTCAGACCAATGGTCTGTCCAGCTCAGAGCCCGGTCTTGCAACAGTGACCGGTGCCAGGTGCTTCAGAGGAACTGAACAGAATAGGGCAGTTACTGAGCGATTCATCCCCTATTGTCCAGTCCCAGCTCCTGGCAGTCGGAGGTTGGGGACACCCAGAGCAGGGGGATGCATCCCTGAGCTTCTTGGCTAGTAGGCATTGATGAACCTGTCCTCCATGAACCCAATTCTTTTGTGAAGGCCAAAGCTACAACTGGGTTCACAACATCCCCTGGCAATGAGTTCCACAGGCCCTCGGTGTGGGGCCCAGCCCCAGTGCTGCTTCCCTGGAGTAAAGGCCTTTCATTCCTCTGCCCATGCCAGAAGAACTAGGAGGAAATTCCCTGGGGCCCTTTCTACAGGATTTTACTGCCAGAGGCTCTGTTCTCACCCAGTGGGCCTGTTTCAGGGTATCCCAAGCAGGCAGCCCAGCAGGGTGGTCAGGACGTGGGTTGGATTGTTTGTGGCCAGAGGCTGGTGGTGTATTATTTATAGTGGGGTTTGAATAACAGCTGCTTCACTGAATGCTCCTGGTTCCTTGCACCTAGCATTTCTGGGGGTGGGGAGGGAATCTATTTAAAAAAAGAATGTGCATTTCTCCCCCCCCCCTCCCCCTTTAGCTCTAGACTCAGGGAGATCATAGCTGCAATGGCAGTAGGGATCACTGAGGCACATGTTCCCTGCACAAACCAAACCCAAACCCCAATCTTCTTCAGAGCTCAGTGACGTAAAATGTACCAAGGGAGGTGCAGTGAACTGGGGGTAGTGGAGCCAGTTTCTTTCTAAGCTTTGTCTACACTGACACATTTTGTCACGAAAAACTGCCTTTTGGCGACAAAACCGTGAGAGCAGTTATGCTACGATGTGACTTATCAGGAAAAACACCTAGTTCTCCTTGGAGTGGTGTCTCTGTGGGTGCTCCACTCGGGTCTCAGTGCGTCCTTGTGCCAGCGAGCAGAGATTTTTGCCTAGCAATGCCTTCCTGCGTTGCGCATGCACAGTCACATCTTGCACTCTTTTCGTCCATTGGCTGCATGCGTGGGTGCAGGTCCCCCTCCGTTCCTTTCCTACTCTCCTCAGCAGAAGACAGACTCTCTCAGCAGTGCTATTTTTCGGACTGAAATTTTTTAAAAATAGAGTTGTTAGTTTGTAGTATTGTTAGTAGTTCAGTCACTTTATAGTTAGTGTTAACCAGTTCTAGTTAGTTTAAAAAAAACATGTTTGCCCTGTGTGATGTAGTGGGGGAACGGTCCACTCACTGGTTGCTATGCTTGTGCTGTGGGTGACCTCTACTGGCCTGCGTCTGTAAGCACTGCCCAGCGCGGGGGCCTGAGGACCCTCAGGTCATGTACACAGTAACCCAACCAGTTCTTACCTCATGAGGGAAGAGATCTGAACAAAGGAAGTCTGTAGTTTAGAAAAGGGGCAGTTTTTGCTGGGAAAACATGAAGAGACTGAGCTGAGTACTGGGGGTACAGGGCCTATGGACCCCTACCCCAAGAGGTCTGAGGCTGCCTGCCTCCTCACTTCGATGCCCATATAGAACCTGGACTGTGCTGTACCTTGCAGAAGCAATAAATCCTCTCTATACTCTTGCTGGGGATGGCCAGGGGGTGCAGGATCGGGGGAACCCTGATGTGCTGCCACACCCTGGTTTTTTTCTCTTTCTTTTTAAACCAAGTTCTGGAGCCCTAAAGTTTTCTTCTAAATATGCCAGGCTCGCCTGACTTTAAAAAGTGTGACTTTTTGTAACATGGTGGGCCTCACCATCAAGAGTGCCTCCTGCTGGTAACTCAGGGAATTAGCATTTTTGGTGCTGGAACACCCCCTTCTGGCTGGTTTCTCACAGACTGTTACTGTTATTCTCCACCACTTTGTCAGGCCCATATCCCTTTCAGACTGTGGCTCCCTCCTACTGGGGTACTGCTCTACCGCAGTACGCCCACACTCTGGAGTCCTTCCTCTCTGGGGACCCTCAATCCCCTTATGCCCACCTTGCCTCAGTGACCCATAGCCAGTCTTCATCTAGTCCCTGACTCAGGGGCAAACTACAGTCTGACATGGCCACTCATCATTGGCAAGGGGTTGTGGACTTGCTGCTTTTCTCTATCCTGGCTGCCTCGCTGCAGCCCTAGTACCCTGTGGCCTTGCTTTGGGCCCTGCAGCCTCTGAGCTTGCCTGGACAGAGCTTCTCCAGCTCTGCCTGCCTTTCCCCAGTCCTGCTCTAAGTCAGGCAGCCTCCAGCTTCCCTGGCAGCCAGGTCCCTCCTGCTCCCCAGCCAGAGTAAGAGTCTCTCTCCCTTCTTCCCTCCTGGAGTCCTTATTAATACAGCCCACAGCTGGGCCCTAACTGCAGCTCTCTGCTGCAGCTCCTTGCTCCATAGCTTCAGCCTTCCAGCCCTCTCCCTGGGCTGGGTTTTAACCCTTAGAGGTTAAAGGCAGATGTCCCATCACAGTCTTGCAGAGACTCAATACCCATATCTGAAGGGCATACCTCTGGCATAAAGTGCCTCGATGAAGGCCATGTGGCACAGAAATGCCCACACTGCCAGAACATGACTGTCAGATCCAGAAAGGATAAGGCTCAAAAACCTCCTATGGGGGAGAAATCCCTTCAACTGCAAGAGTGTAATGGGATGTCTCCCTACAGTACAAACCAGAGCACAACCATTAATCAATACCAGGTTAATAAAAAGGAAAAAGAAAGAACTTTTATTATTACCACAATATTCCTGTTGCAAGCATAATGACTAGATGGAAAAGTAACAAAATAATATACTCATGGAGGAGAAATTTACCATAGGCCAGGAACTTAGTTACAAAGGAGAGCAAAACCCATTTTTAAATGCACAGACCAGTTCCCATTTCCCAAACCATAAAACAATAAAACCTAATGGATTTATCAAAACTTTATCCTATTTACAGACTGTGAAGAGTGTTTTCTTAGAGGGAGACATCCTGTCCCCTTCAATAGCTGGAGAGAAACTACTCAGAGACAAAGGAGGGAAA